ATGTGCAGTGGAATATGATAAATACACAGTAATAGAATGTTTGGCAAAGTTGGCTTTACATTTCTTTTGTATCTTAAAATGGAAGTAAAGTCAATACGCTAAAAAAAATAGCTGAGAGGCAGGGATTTTTGCCCAAATTTTTCCTATCTCCCCTAGCGGTTTTTTTATTTGTTGTGTACTCTGAACAGCACATGCACCATCCATTGCAAACATTCAGCCTATTCACAGCATCTCTAAAAAGCCGTGAATGGGCCGGGTGTCAGAGTGGATAAAGCTCCTGTGCGAAGATCGATCGAGCCACACTGGAGAAGGGCAAACTTTTAAGGTAAGTGTGCCCTACTATGCAAGTAGCTTTGCCTACTTGCACATAAAGGCAAAAACAAAGACGTTTTAAAGTGGTTTACTTCTCCTTTTAGCCAGATATAAACAGAGTGTTTCTTGCTAGCTATATAAATGATGCAAGCAGGGCTGGTGTCATGAGGAGGCACTAGGGTGCAATGCTTTCCCAAAGACAGGGGAAAGATTCACGTATGCACATAATGACTTCTTACTTTTCTCCAACTTCCCTGATCTCCATACTGGTCTAGGTGAAGAAGTAGTAGAAGCATTTTCTCAAGGAGGTGTACAATGCATATTATGTATTTCTCTCAGAGCAGGTTTTCTTTAGCCCCTAAGCATCTCTTGGTATCTAAGGGAAATTTACAAACTGTGAGTCACTAAAACAGGGTTATGTATACTTGTACTTGATTTCCCTCTCTTTGAAATATTACACCTCACTTCCTTTTGCTCCTCATGGGACACAGGCAAGAAAAAAAAAAACTGTCAGTAGTTCTGACCCTTTCCTACTCTAATCAAAATCAATTTATAAAGTTTTGTCTTTGGATATACTTATACTGGGCAAAGTAATTCCCCCTCCCATAACTCTCTTTCACCTGCTGTTATAATATTAGGTACTTTAGAACTTTTACACTTACCTAAAAGTCCCCCATCCATGTTCCTCGCCACTTCTGGAACTGCAACCAGTCCTTCCTGCGCTGTAGTAGATTGGTCACCCATTCCTGGTGTCATCTGCAGTCTTCAAAGCACTCCGCTTATTCTGACTCCGATTGTTGTGCTAGTGACTTATCCCTTGCTGAGACCTATATGTCTGGCCTGTATAAGCAGATTCAATCACTGAGGACAATTATTGTCAGATAGCTGAACTCACCAATACCTTTTCATCCACAAGAGTTGCTTTATTCTGTACATCAGACAACAGGATACAGCAGATGGATGGTTTTCAGTATTATGCGGTCAAAAGATGATGCTTTCGTAGCGTACTGTGCAGAATACACGTGTCCCGTGTTACATGTGGCCTGTAGCTGCATCCATGACACAAGAAGTACTGACCAACAAGAAGGGTGGAGCATACATACAGAGGAAATACATCACAAAGGGAACACAGAACAACATGTGCATTACCACAATTGGTCACTAGATGGCAGCATAGGGACTAACAATAAAATAGCTATAGGCAAACTGATCTAAGGAAACAACTATATACATTCTTATCTACTAACAATGCTAATATGTTCAATATGCTAATATGCTAAAATGTTCAATATATATAATATTGAACATATTCTATGCCCCATTGGGGTGGCACACCGCTACTGGACATCCAATGAGAAGTATCCATGTCACCAAGGTAGTGACATGAAAAGCTGAAGAACCATCCTCCATTGCTGGAAAGAAGAAAGAAAACTCAGACCCTAAAGCATCAAGTGACCACTGATTTAGAGGTGTATTCAACTAATTGATTTGGTGTGTGGGGTGCCCAGAGTTTAGCTTTCAGGGTTTCCCCTCTTTCAAAGTTATAGTATTACCCCTCTGTGCAGTGTCTGGAGTTGGTTCTGGATGCAGGCATCTCTTGCACTGGTCACACAGTTTAGGACACAACACAGGAGCAATGGTTGCTACAGAGCTCTGCAGGTGTCTGGAATAGAAAACTGTGGACTCTTTTTCCATATCTCTAAAATTGTATTTATTCTTTTTGCATTCAATCTAATTATAATTGGTTGGACATTACTTAAGTGGACCTTGAACTAGAAAGCAAGGCCCACTCATTACAACAGGACTGTATGCATATACGGTGATGCACCCGTGGACAAAAAATTAGAGAGTTGTTGTAATTAGTACACTGTACAATCAAGTCCTGCCTGCAATGTGACATTCCCAAATATACAGGAATGAAGTTTTGGCCAACCATGGTTCCAGAAGTTAGAAAGCACTGCCATACCACACTAGTGTTTGTGTTGACAAAGCGGGGTCCTCTATATAATTTTGGTGTGGCTCTCACACTGGGAAAGCTATGGGAAAAAATCTAGTTGATACAGTTTGCAAGTTCTTCTAAAACTGCAAAATTCAAAGATTTGGAAGTCTGTTTTTTAAAGAGAACCTGTGTGGCTAGAGCTGGGAGCTGCCAGTTCCAACTTAGTTTTTAAAGGTAATTGCTCTGGGGATGTCATACTGATTGTATCTTCACCACTCAGTGACTCATTAAAAACGAGCATGCAGGACAAGAGTTCAGACTTTTCTGGCTGCAGGCTTGTTCCAGGACAGTGACTCACTAGGTAGTAAAACTAGGAGTAGCATGGCAGCCCTGGGGCCTACATTTTTTACCAAGTCAGGACCTCAGGCTTTTGCCTCTTAGAGGATCAAAACACTTCTTTATTCATTTGGAGACGCCAATTTTTATTGATTTACAATTTATATAGATTTTCTTACTTTTTCTACACTTGTTTCATCATGGGGGGGTTGCAAGCTGTATCCTGTCTTGCATGCTTGTTCCAAGTCAGTAAGAGACTAAGAGGTGCGTCTCCTATAGTGTTAAATGTTTACTGTTATCAGAAAGCAATAGATGACTACTACAGTGATCTGTTGGTGCATGGAGTAAGTAGAGCAGAACTGGATAAGCTTTGCCCTGCTTCAAAATGACTGCTAGAATTCACAGGAATTTTTGATTAGATCAGAGATTTTCCCTGTAACCACAATGCAGAAGCATTGTGGTTATGTAGTTCTATGGAGTATTCTTATTGGACCACAAGACCAGGAGTTAATTCAGCTACTGGACTTAATGCAGAAACCCAGCTCTGGCTTATAGTTCCAGCACTGAACATGCCAGTACCACTTAAAATGGCGCTGTAACTAGTACAGCGCCATTTTAAGTGAGTAAAATGGCAGTGCCCTGGTTTCCATGCGAATATGTTTACTTTAGATGAGCTCAAATAGGGTTTATGTTTAAAAAACTTTTTCAAAAGAAAGTGTTGATGTTTCCTGTAGACATGAGCATACCTTAGATTAGTGGTGGTCAAATTATTAGAGTCAGGGGGCCTAAAGTGCATCCCACAACAACACTAGTATATCCATGTTCAACACAGGAAGATCCATTATGCAACCAAAGAAAAAAAATACATAAAATAACTAGAAAAAGTAATAGAGAAAAAGTCAGAAATGTGAAAGAAATAAACCAAAACATTTAACTATAAAAAGCTGATGTAATTAGAAGTTTTCCTTTACTGGCCTTAGTCATGTTTCTGGCAATGCAGCTATTGTGCAATTGTGCAGCAGTGTATATATGGTGATAAGGAGAGCTCTTTCTCTAACCTACAGAACATGAGAGGGAAGACGTTTCCAGGCTTTACCTATGTAATAGGTCACATGATGTAGAGCCACAGTCAATAAGCATTTCCTATTGTGTTCCAGGCACCCGCTGATCAGGTCTGAGTAAAAACGTAGGCAGGAAAGACACGGACTAGTGAGTGCCAGAGCTTGAGGGATGGTAGGACTGTGGCTGAAAGAGCACAGATGTATTCCAGAATCCTGCTGCACTCCATACCGGGTATCTCTGTCAGCGTGGGTGCTCGAAGTGACCGCGGATGGCGCAGCCAATACTGAAACTTGTTAGAGATGTCACCAGCACACCATATTGAAGTGAAGAACACGTCTGTTTATTGACGCTTCATGTCAAAACAAATAGCAATGTTTCGGGGCCACACAAGGTCCCCTTCATCAGGCTTGAAATGACAACGTTATGACAACATTGTCATTTCAAACCTGATGAAGGGGACCTGATGTGCTGGTGACATCTTTAACATGAATTAGCACAGAAGCACCATCATAATTAATATATAAACCACCAGAGGGACAAATGAGTGGGTAGCAGAGCTAGCTAGTCACTGGCGAGTGATCACATGATGTTTACTAGTGATGACATAATCAGTCTGAATCTGTTATAATGTAGACAGCATCCACATTTTTTCCTATAGACTGGGAGATATTCAGTTTATCTGAACTATTTAGAAGCTCCGAAACAATGTCGTCCTCCCCAAATGTCTTACCATTGTTCCATAGGCAGCTGCATAACTCTCCTGGCTGGTCTGTTACTTCTGCAAGTGCACAGAAAAGATCCCATTTACTCCTACATAGGAATGAATGTACAGAAGAAGGGAGGTAATATAAAGGATAACTAAACAAAAATACAGTTATCCTTTATGGCACCACATAGAAGAGTACGCAGTGTGATATGTCATTCATCTCTACATAAAACTTGCATTCCAACCTAGGAGGAACCATTCTTACTAGGGTTGTCAAAATTACACCTAATTTTTTGTATCACAATAACTAAAGTATTCAACTCTGACCGATGAAAGCTGATATTGGACAGGGAATTTGATCTTTCATTCTTAGACATTACTCATTTCATGTGCCCAGTTGTGTTTGGTTGGTAGCAGACAGAGTAAGATATAAGTATTTAAGTATAACACAGGTTTTAGCAGTTTATGTGATTGGTCAGTGAAGAGGGTATACAAAATAGGTAAGCTTTAGCCAGGGTTAAAATCTGTAGTACATCACTCTGGGTGTGAAATTGCAGACCAAACGTTAAAAGAATTGTTTAATATACACAAGCTTGTTCAGAATAAACTGATAACCTCTATTTTCTTCTTTTTTCTATACTTCAGAATTCTAACTGTAACACAGAGAAACACTATGAGCATGCCGCACGATGCTGCCTAAAATGCCAACCAGGTATGTCTACTTTATATAATGACTGTTTGTGGGAGAGCTGTAATTGTCACCGATCATCAGTTTCCTGCCTCCTTCCTGCTTCCTGGAAAATCATTTTTTCCCCCCTTGCCATGCCTTAGCAGTGGATCCCCATACACGTCTATAAGGCTGTCTCCCAAGCAGCTCCTGTATTGGGAGATAACCCCATAGAAGTATGGGGATGGACTGTATAGACATGGCAGTAACGATTATGGTGGTAATGATTGAAAACATTTTGAAAATCCTAGCAATGAGCTTCTCTGATTTTCTCCCTCTTGGTCTGTTAAATATACAATTGAAAGCGGTTTGTTATTTAAAAGAGGACAATGAGGTGAGTGAAAATCACTCATCCTCATAGTTCGAGCCGATGTGTGACAATTAAATTGTCACATGTCGGCTCAAAAGATTGGGAAGTGAGTGAACACATACCGTCGTTCGCTCACTTCTCGATCATCTCCCTGCAGTGAGCAGTGACTGTCACTCACGGCTCACTGCAGGGATTCCCCCCTACCCGCTCCGATCCTCCAGAGCTGACTGGAGGAACAGATGGGGGAGGGGGCGGGTACAGCTGGCTCTGCCTCTAAATAGGGAGAGCCAGCTGTCACTCACGCAGCTGGGAGGATCTCAACAGTAATGTCGGGATCTGCCCTGGCTGCTGCGGTCTCAGTATACCGCGAGCTGTAGCTCATGATTTACTAAGCTTTGGGTCACGGGAGGATGCTAGTATATGTCCTCCCGTGACCCTTAAGAGAACTATGGGGAAAAACATTTACCCCCATAGTTCCGTTTTAAGTACAAAAATACCATACCTGTTGATCTTGTCAGACATTCAGAGCTGTCCTGTGTCCTGACCACATTTGATGTGTTATCTGAGGCAGTAGCACTACCAGTTCTTCTCTTGGGACTACAGATCAATTAAGCTGGCCATGCAGTGGTCGAATTTCGGGCTACGTCTTGTTGACTTGGCCAAAATTCAACCAGTGTGTGGCCCAGTCGGCACCCCTCCATTCGACAAAAGTCAGTTTTTCAATCAACATTTGTTGAAGGAGTCGGTCTGAAAAATCTCTGCCAAACAATGACTGCAGCCAAACAGCTACAGTTACTGTTCAGGTACTGTGACAGCGGCACACCCTCATATGGCCGCTGTTTAGTATATGACCAGCCTTAGTGCCTGTGTTGTGGGTATGACAAGAAGGGATATGATTCAGTAGCCTAGCAGTACGCCAAAGATGTACTGTATATGTTTTTTATTTCTATTTTGTTTACGTACCACTCTGTCATTTGTATCTACAATGAACTTCCACAAGGCCCTTACATTTGAGACAGTGGAGATTATTTTCATGAAAGAAATCTGATGGACAGAAATATATTATATTTGCATAGTATCATTTTATGATATATGCTTATACATAAATATATCATATAGCGAAAGGAAATCTTCTTCAAAATAGCTATTAAATATCAACAAAAATGTATGACTGTATTAGACCATACCATTCTTTTATAGCCTTTATAGTATTTTATTTATCTATTTACAAATCATGAAAGTTTTGAGTACGGTACATTTAGTACAGGAAGCAAATCTGCAGTCAGTTTTGTTTAGCTCTTGACAAAGAAGAAGTATAAAGACAGTATAATGTTGTCGTTATCTCCTGGCGCTAATGGCTGTCATCAAACAGTCTATCCGCTGTTGAATGGTTCAAAGTTTTTCACACGGTCTTGAGGGGCTGCTCATCCAAGGCTCTGGGGCTTCCATCACATACATATAAAACAAAAAGGAACAGAGCGCCTTGAACCTCATCTTGGCGCTCTGTTCCTTTTTGTTTTATAAGAGGTTTAAAGAGTATAAATATAAAAGCACTATACTAAAGTATATATTCAGGGTTCTTCCAGGTATCTGTTTCTTTGCATATCCTACAAATTGTAAACTTTGAAACAATCATAAACCCCATCTAGGTGACTCTGACTCGTAGCAGAATGTCAGGAGGTCTGGGTCTCCCCAATTTGACTAAATATTACCATGCTGCCCAACTCGACCAGATCCCTAAGTACCATCGTACAAGTTAAACAACCATATGGGAACCCTGGAGGCCATCACTTGCAAACCTTTGAATATTGACAATTTGCTGTGTCTTCACCCAAACAGCAGATCCTACTTATCCACCTGAAGTTTGAAACACACCTTATAGGCCTGGGACAATACTAAATACTCTGAAAGCTTTCAATCCCCTTTGAAAGCCCTTGTGACCTTTACACACAATCAGGCCTTTCCAACTGGTTTCCATTACTATGTAACATACCATCTTCCCCGTCTACACAACAACTCCCCGTGTACACCTAGAAATGGGTTGCAGATTTAGACACAGACCTCGATGTCCACATATGGTCCAGATCTGGCAATGCAGATGCAGGCCTTCTCAACTTTTAAGCTCAACTGTGCTTCCATTCTCTTCCTTGACACCTCCTACCCTCTTCCCTTTTCTTACCATTAACCTACCCCACCCTTCAGTCCACAAACTTCTGGGGTCTACTGCTAAGATAAGCTACTTCTTAGCACCCATGTCCCATAGGAAATGACTAGCAAAATGAATATTTGTATTCTTCTGTAACATCGACCTTGATGATTGAATGTGCTGTTAACTTTCACTTTGATTTTTACTAATGTATCTGTTACACTGCAGTTATGTGGCTGAAAAATAAAAGGACTATACTATACAATACCATTGTACTAATCATAATTTCTTCTCCACACTATACTAATTACAGAATTGAGAGACATTTATTGTATGATTTACATTGTACACAAAACGTTTCCTTTTTGATTTCAGGAACATACATGACAAAAAGGTGTTCTTCCAGTGCAGATACCGTTTGCAGTCCATGTGGACCTAATGAATACATGAGTGCCTGGAATGACGATTTGAAATGTTCCCTTCATACGGTGTGTGACTCAGGTAAACTGCTGTTATGTTGTCTTCTAGCCACCGTGTTCTTCTTTTCCATTTCTATTTATTGTTCTTTTGTGTGCATGCTTCTGGATGTAAACATGATTGGTTCCTAATGTTCTGAAATAGCCTGTGTAAAACAACACACCTCATGCCGTTTGAAGAAAGTAAAGAAAGTTTGACTAACTTAAGTTTTACATATTTGACCTTCCATAGACCAGCACCTTCCATCTACCTACAACCGTTTTTTAAACCCAAATGATCCTTCAGCCTGACCCAACCCTCAGAGTTTGTACTTGCAATCCTACTCAAACTCCTGTTTTACCTCTGCTGTGTTTTGAGAGACTGACTTGTTACAAGAAAGAGCTGCTACATTACTTTAAGTTATTTCATGGTACAAGATGCTATAATGTTAGATGGAGATGCATTTTATAAGAGATCTTCATGGTAGAACCTGTTGCAGTGTTATAAGAAACTGCTATTTTGCAAGAGACTTTAAAATACTTTTTTTTACAGTGCACCTGTGCCTAGGGTATGGACATTAAAGTATTTACATATTCTGAAGAGGCAGTTTTTTTCTTTGCCCTTGCAGTGGGGCTACCCCTGCACTGCAGGGGTTAATGGCTCGTTTTTTTTTCTAGGTTCAAAAATAACAAAGTTACACTCACCCAATCCTGCAAGTTGGCTGACTTTTAGACTCTTGCAAGGCTTTCTGTATGCTCTGCATGTTAAGTAAGCAGAGTTGCAATAACAAAACCATCCTATTTGCTCTACCTGTCCTATCTGCTCCACATCGCAGGTAACCTGCAGGCACCCAGCCCAGAACAAGAGTCTACTCTAGGCTGTGAAATATGAAAACATTTTCCCAAGAACGGTTGGCAGTCCACATTCCTGTTGTATGACGAATCCCAAGTGTAATGTTTGGTTTGAACTCATACTAGAGCATTGCCAGCAATAGAGGGCATTGGAGCAGACTGAGAAACTTGAGTCTTATATTTGGTGGTCAGGTGATATTGCACTTAATGAACGATGAAATGCAGATACACATGCATCTGGTATGAGTGGTATTTTGACTCAAGTCTAATTTTACTTTGCAAAGTGTTTGCCTGATATCCCAATCCATTTACTTTTACATGACCACTACTATGCTAACGTCACTTCTGATGCTTACATGTGCTATTTATTAATCAGTGTTTATTGCTGCTATTGTAACAAGCAGAGTTTAGATTAGATGCAGCACTTACAAATAATGTGTCAAGTATGTTCTATGATTTGATCATTATAATAAATCCTCTGCTCCATATTTATGTGTGCACATGGGAATAAAGGACCAGGACAAAAAATGCCTTTAAAGAGATATGTAATAATTTTGAGTTTTTGATGGATACAAGTGATCACATGATCAGGAAACCACAGACATTGTTTCCTGATCTTCTCATCAGGATGTCTCCTTGATGCACCTGACCCTGAAACTTAGCACTCTCTCAGAGCACACATTGTGATTGCAAACAAGGAAAGTTTGCTGCATTTTGTATACAGAGCCATTCACAATCTTCAGTCCAGGAAACATGGCCACTATTAATGGCCTGTTTGTACAGCTAAGTAGCTAAGTAGTCTAAGTAGTCTACCTGGAGCACTTATGTTGCTGGTAGGTTCATTCACACCTTCTGGTGCTAGGGAATACTGTCCTGTGGATTGAGAAGTGGGATGGAAGAGAGCTACCCCCCACCCCCTTTCCTATAGTCCACCACCCCCCGATCCTCATCTTGACCTGCCCATCCTATTCCCCCACCCTACTGGTCCTTCCATTGCTCTTCTTCCCACTTACTTTTCCCTTTCCCCACCTCTTCTCTTGGTCTCCACTTTTATTAAAGGGAAACCCACACACTTGATGAGACTTACAGTCAAATGTGATAGAACTCCAGCTCCATGTATATCCTTAAATGGAACGAACCCCAATGATTTTCATGATGGTTTGTAAATCATTTTTTGACATTGCTTTTCATGTATCTGTGTATGTACTTGCTACAATGTATCCTGGTTTTAAATCGGGTGTTGTACTGCATCCAAATGTTTATCTACAGCAGGGGTAAGCATACTCCAGCCCTCCAGCTGTGGTGAAACTACATCCATCATGCATCTGCCTGTGGGAGTCATGCCTGTGGCTGTCAGAGTGTTGCAATGCTTAATGGGATGTATAGTTGCATCACAGCTGGAGGGCCGGAGTTTGCCTACCCCTGGTCTACAGGGGCATTGTTTTATATCTAGTGTGTGATCTTGTGTTATAAATAAAGAATACATGGAAACAGTATTAATTATCTTTGCTTTTTCCCAGGCATTGCCGTTTTGAATTGTAATTTTTAATGACAGGGTCACTTTAAAAAGGCATAAAAATTTATTTTAAAAAAGTGTCTTATGGATTCTGTTCATAGTGCATCCTTGTGTAACTGCAGCTACCTCACTAGGGACATTATACTCCCCATGATAGATTATTGGCACCAAAGTGAAATTCAATATTATATAATATTGTTTGTATCCAGTGTCTCCCACCCACAGCTCTATAAATGAGAGAATCATGGAGGCTGCCTGGGCTAACCACTCCTTATGGAAATGCTAGTTGCTTGGCTGACATGCTCCTCTTTAGCTGCAGGAACTGACCAGGAACAATTATGAATATAGGGATTTCTGTGACCTTTCTGACCTGCATACTTGTTGGAGGTAAGTAATTGAGAAAACATTGAAGCCAGTGGGTCATCATATTATCCAGGCAACTATCATATTTTATAATGGCAGCAATATAGAAGAAGAATATACATTAAAGTAATAAATTGATGGCTAGTTCAGAATAATAAAAGAGAGATAAACAGCCCAATTTTTCACTGAATCCTTTCATGTCCCATAACCTTTCTCTACATCAACAACATCTGGATGCCATTTGTATAATAAATAAAAACATGCAATGAGTACATTTAAGATAAATGTTCTATGCTGAAATTTGTACATAGTAAAGACATCCATATGGTTAACACAAAAGCCATCCTGCTACCTGCCCTGTTAGAATTGAAGGAACCTGTAGTGAAGAAGTATGGAGGTTGCCATTGTTGACCTCTCCTTCACATAATACTAGTTCCATGTCATGCTGACCCATTGGCTTCGGCACTTTCTCAGTCATTTATTTGGAACAAGTATGCAGATTAGGAGTTCTGAATTGACTCCTGCTGTCCATGCCTGTTTCAGATCTGTGTCTCAAAATGTCAAAGGAAGAGACAGCCAGGCTTCTAGCATTTTTCAAAAGGAGTAAGAAGTTGCTGCCTCTGTCTTTCTCTATGTACAAGTTGTGTTTAATTATTTGTAGACTATCAGGGCTATTCACAAAAGGGTGACGAGTTTGGAGAAGGCAGGAGAAGTGAACAGTCTAGGACAACATAGGTGAGCTGAAAAGTGAGCTGAATTGGAGAATTTTTCAAAATCAGCTATGTTCTCCTAGAATGTTCACTTCTCCTGCCTTCTCCAAACCCTTCACCCTTTTGAGAATAGCCCTGTATGTAAAAAATCCAGCCTTGTCTGCAAGTCTTATTAAAATGTCTCCCTTCTTGTAGGAAAAGCCTTGCAGGTGTTTAACAATGGAAACAGCACCTATCCCCGAGAATGTATGTGTACTGACGGATACCATTTTAATACCAATCAAGAAATATGCATGGAAAATACAAAATGCCCTTTTGGATTTGGTGTACAGATCCCAGGTGAATATGTACTAACTTTCCAACCAGATTATCAAAGAACTTTGAAATGTAATTGTATAGAGATAAAGAAGCACAGATACAAGCCCAGAGGCAACACTGAATTTGGAGCCTCCTCATATGTCTTACAGAAACTTTTGACTGAACATTTTTTGCCTTGTGCAATTGTATAATAATAAACATGGGTATATTTTTACTTTAGTTCACCCATTATAAGCCTACTGTAAAATGTTAGCACCCAGATGGTAAACAAAGTGTCAGTTATAACTGAGGTTCCTCATCACATGTTGATGTGGTCAAACAAACAGACAATAGAAAATACGTCAGATAGATGAAGCACTTTGTGAGTACATAGACTCCAATGTCTGTGTGTGCCTCAGTATGCACGAGGCTGTCAACTATGCAATCTGCATTGAGATATTTACTTCTGCTTACACCCAACTTGTTTTGTGTAGATCCCAGCATTTCCTTGGGGGCCTTGTGAGTATTTGTGATTCACCTAGTGCATACTGTAGTGATTCCGGTTTAGGATGCCAGTTTTTTTTAGTGGCCATGTCATAGGTTTTAGATCTAGAATATATCAGTCTTCATCTACCCTCTCAAAAGGAAACATAAGTACAGGAAGACTTAAGGAGACTATTATTGCATGTCTGGAAAATTCTGCTAAAATTCTCCATCTCTCTCAGCATTTACTGAAGGTGGCAGTATAAGTTACAAAACCCCTCTTATCATCCTTCAGAGAAGGCTTGTCGTCAAGTGGCTTGTGTTTCTGGGCCTCTTGCGTCCCTCTTTGTAGCCCTCAGTGGCTTTTATGAATTTAAATTGAATGAGACTCCAGCTGTTCTCCATTTAATAAAAACTACACGCCCAGATGTAATTTGCAGGTTAATACATTGGAAAATGTTTTTAGGCTCCCTTTCTCTAGAATAAGATTATGTCAATTGCAATTATTGCGATAATGTTAAAGCCGCTGCAAGGATTTTTGCTTACACAGGCCAAGGTGCATTTTTTCGCTCCCCCCGGCACCCTCAGATGGCTGCTTATGCAGTCATAAGCTAGCACCTGCCCTGCATAGACATCCCATAAGGCAGCACTCCAAAACTAATAGGACATCTGAGATATGCAAGTTACAGGTCAAACCATATATCTCAGAACCATTTAGAAAAAAAGGAAGACCGTCAGCTACTAGTGTCCTATATGTAAAGCTACAAACAATGACTCCCCCAAATAGTTCACTGCTGAGCACTACAATACAAAGACAGCCCAAAGTGCACCACTCCAGAAAGCCTAAGTAACATGTGAACATCCCCAGCATTTAAGAAAAGAATGACCATATGCTACTGAAGCCCTATATGTAAAGCCACAAAGCTACAGACATTGGTACCCCAAGTCCCTTACCATGAAGCACCCCAATACAAGGACCCCCCCATAGAACATACCTCCAGCTGTCACATACAAGCGATCCGGCAGCTATAAAGTCCTGCAACATCTGTTGTGGCTGCTTATGAGTTGATGGTGGGAAAAATAATGTGTAATAAAATTAGTTATGAGGCCTTACACTGATCACCATTGTTACGGAGGTATTCTCACTGACCAACAATGTAATAAAGGTAATCTCACTCACCAGAAATGTAACAGAGGTACTCACACTGACCGCCAATGTAACAGAAGTATTCACACTGACCGCCAATGTAGCAGAGGTATTCTCACTCACCAGCAATATGTGCCCCTGTGTTAAAGCATATCTAAACCCAAAACCAAAAATGTCATATATTGCAACTAACCAATCTGCAAATGTGGTGCCTATATACGTTTTCTTTTTTTAAGCTTTTTCTTCTTTATTTTTACCTGGCGATCCAGCCAGAAACAAACTTTCTTCCTTAGGGTGGCTCCATTCCATGCAGGAGCAATGAAGCCACCCTTGGACAGCGTTATTGTCACCCTGTGGAGAGGACAGTGTTAAATGGACTGGCAGACTAACAAAATAAAATCCAGCTCCAGCTAACACTTTTTAATGCAGGTACAGCAACACTTTTTTCTTTTCCTTTTGGTATAAAGGTTTTACAGAAATGAATAAAATCTGGCCATTGGGTTTAGATACGCGTTAAGTCCTAAAATGCTATAATCTTTTTTTTTTTTCCCTAGGAACCAAGTTGGTATGACCCCTAATCAGAAATAATATGGACCCTATTTGGCTGTCTGTTATAGAGTAGCTGGTTGACATGAAAATTGCATCTGTTTTATAGTAGCTGTCATTAATACATGTTCGGTCTTCCAAATTTGTATATGAAAGCCTGCTTACTTTTTTCCCCATAGGTCAGCGGAATAAAAATACTGTATGTGTACCATGCCAAGAGAGATATTTTTCCAATATTTCCTCATCAACAGAGCAGTGCCAACCCTGGGCAAAGTAAGTTATTCATTAAATATAAAAGATCTGAAAAGCTGAAAAAAAGGCTTTAAAAGTTTAAAAATAAATTAAGAAGCTTATGTGTCCAGCTATGTATTTATTTACAGTTTGATATACACATTAAAATGTCTTCTGATCTAAAGGTGCCCATAGACATTAGATGATTGCCAGATCAGGCAACCATTCATTTTTATGGAACAGCCTGAAAAAGCATGTCTTTCCTTGGGGAATAAAGTGATTTGGCTGATTATTCACTTTGTTCTGTTAGTAATGTTTACCATGTGATAAACTAACTCTAAGACAATCGGCTGCCTGTGGACACAGGGCCGGATTTACTCTCTCTGCTGCCCCAAGGCCAGGTTCCTCAATGCGCTTTATCAAATGGTTGGGCTTTGCATGCACATTAGACCATTCTCTAATGTCAGTGGAGCAGCGATTTGTTACATCACTTTAAGGGGAACGATAAAAATGAAAAATTCCTTTAAATATCGTGCCTGGGTGGTCCTCTTAAACTGCCTGTGAAGTGGCGGATCTGCACGATGTATAGAACCTGCTGCAGCAATAAGTGACATTTGGAAAGAAAAAAATGACATTTCAATTGCTGGTAATTGGTTTTCTGTTAATCTTTTAAACAATTGCTTGGGGAGGCAGCCTATATGAAGAGGCCACATTTTAGGACACTTGGAACAAGGTTAGAGATTTTTGGATACTTTTGCAGGCGTTGGGTGAAAGTAACAACAGGCGCTTTAAAATTGGGCCTTTGGTATTGGCGGTGGCTTCACACCGTAACCCTTCAGATTTATTGTTGACGAGTGCAGGGTTGGACCCTGCTGTAAAAAATTCTAATTATATATACCTGTCACACAGGTGTTGAAAAATTGGACCTTTAGTGTTGGTGGTAACTTCAGAGTTATTCTCAGGGAGTGCAGAATTGAAATGCATGCCAAGGTCCCCTGAGCCTGTCCTTATGCCATACTCACACAGGAACTCGTTGATGGCCCTCTGTTGCGTGTGCAGCCTCTGCAGCATTGCCAAAGTGGAGTTCCACCTGGTGGGCATGTCACAAATCAGACGGTTTGTGGGCAGGTGGAATTCACGTTAAATTCCAGCCAGACGAACACTGGCTGGGAATGAGTGCCTGAAATGGCTACAGAGTTTTCTGGTCTGCCTCAAAAGATCTTGCAGCCCTGGGTACCAGGTTAAGAAATGCTGCACCACCAAATTGAGGATGTGTGCCAAGCATGGTACATGCATCAACTTTCCCAGGCGTATTCCTGGCTCAAGCTGGTGTGGTGTTAACCACCTCTGGGCCTGCCCCTGCAGAGCTGACAGAATCTCTGCCCCTGGTGTGGTTCCTGTCCTCTAGACAAACCAGCTCAAGCAGTGCATGGCATGTTTTTGCTTGACCCATTGCGTAGCCTCTTGAACGCTTACGGTTCACTGGACAATTCATCAGAAGAGGCCATCGTGGAGGACAAAGAGGAGGGGGTGGAGCAGACATATATCACATCATCAGGTTTTTGGAGGTGTGGTGGCTGAACAAGCTCCAGCACGGAGCCCCATTCTGGATCCTTCCCAGCTGCAAGCAGAGTTACCAATTGTGCCATGAAGGAATTATTTTGCGCTCCAAAAGGCGCACCAGACCATAGGAGGCAGGGAGGGTAGGAGTCATAGCTGCAGTTAGTGATAGCTGAGACAGGTGGCACTTTGATTACAGTGCCACGGTCTCAGTGATCACACAGAGCAGATGAAGAACGGACGTTCTTCATCTGCTCTAGGTACTCTACGGTAAGCTCCTATGCCGTGGTCACGGGTCCCCCAGAGGAGCGGGGGACCCCGAAAACCAAGGCGGGGGGCGTACACAATCGACGCCGCTCGATTTGATACAAGTGATCTGATTAGATCACTTGTATTAAACGAGCAGCGGCTCCCATTGTACATTTAGCTCTGCTTGTCAGGAGCAGGGCTGAATGTACAAAAAAACTACTCGCCCGGTGCCCGAAACTGCATGTCGCGTGTGTCGGGCGAGAGGGATTCACTCCATAAGACGCACAAACATTTTTGCCCCCCTTTTGGGGGGAAAAAGTGCGTCTTATGGAGCGAAAAATACGGTAGATAGATAGATAGATAGATAGATAGATAGATAGATAGATAGATAGATAGATATATGCAATTATAGACTGCTATGAATGACTGCAATTATAGAGTAATATTAGAGTGCTGTAGTACACTGATAGAACGCTGATACAATGCTGATAGAGCACTGATAGAACTCTGATTAAAATTTGATATAACTCTGATAGTGAACTCTCTCTTTTAACTCCGGCAACACACTACGTAGGGCTGCAGTGTAAGCAGCCTTATATAGTGTGCTACTGGGACATAGCAGTGAGTCATGATTAGGCAAAGTCATCATGACTTTACCCAATCATGGCTCTCACAGTTATCTGTGCCTGATTGGGCAAAGCCTTTAGCCAATTAGGGCTTCACAAGGCGCATTGCCTTGTGGGGCGTTCTGCGGGCGAACAGCTCGAACATCAAGCCCATGTCTAATGTCCATGCTCTGGCCTGCAAGCTATGTATTTTATCAAGATAATTGCTTCTGCTCTAAGCCTTTATTTGACCTTACTAATTTAGTCAAAACTTTTTTGTTCCTCTTTTGAATCACTTGGAAAAGGGTTAGATCATCTGTGAAGTTTTACTGTTGTCTGTAGTCCAGTTGAGGAGATTGTCTCTTACTTTCTGTTGTGTCAGGCAGTAATAAAATCCTGATAGAGAAACCAACCTTTCCCCATTCCAAAAAAAGTTTTGGCTAGAATGAAATCTCAGTATTCACCATGTTATTGTATTTAATTAGAATCATATTAGTAGCTATCTCAATAATGAAGCCTGTTTTTTTCATTCCACAGCTGTTCCGCGTTGGGACTCCAAGAGATTGTACCTGGCACCAATATCTCTGATGCAGTTTGTGATCATCTCATCATCGAAAATACTCGTAAGGGTGTGTCATGTATTAATAAGAAAATGTACAAAGCATGCGTGTTGATGATTTACGATTGTGAGGATAGTTTATAGTTTTAAGTAAGATCCTTCCATCATAATAGGATCTCTAATGGTGAGCTCTGTAGACTGCATTCTAATATATTTGTATAATAAATATGTTGTGGACATTTACGTTGCCCCAGTTACTGATACTGAATGTATAGAAACACAATATATGGACTATATCCCCAGAGTTTCTTATCTTACATAGCCTACACGCAATATCTATTTGATTATAGAAAAATAGTTTACCATTGAGTCTATTTTTATTAATACATACTTCTGTTTCTCCTTATTTTACAGATGCACGAATGATTATCCTTATCACTGTTTTAATTGTATTCCTGGCTGTGATTTTATTCGTCAGTGTTTTCTGTTGTATGAAGAAATATAGTACCTTAAAAGGTATGTGTGCTTTCTTTTCTAGGTTAAGAATCCAGTGATGCTGGCAGGTTAAATATCCGGGTGGCTTTTATATCTTTCAGTATTTATCGTGGTAGGACCTGTACACCTAAATTCCAAATACCACCAAACAGCTTCCGCCATTAAAGTCAATGTGAACTGGCCTAAAATCTTTCTAAGCTGGCAACAGTGCTAAAGTGTAGGCAGCTTGTGGTGCCTGCAAGTAACTGTGTTTGTCTTCAAATTGATTTTTAATACTGTCTACAGGACTGGATTTCCATAACTGAAGCTCATAGGCACACAATCTTTGGCTCCCTCAAAGCAGCCAGAAAGCCAGAATCACCATTTTTATATTAAACACCTTTTTGTTTTACTGTTCCAAACCCTGCTTAGAAATTGTGACAATCGTTAAACAAGCTTACAGTATATGAGGCTGCATTTATGCTGATGGTGGTAAAAAAATAAATGTGTGGCATATTAATATAAAGTAAAAGCCGCTTCTTTGCCACTACCACCTGTTGAGACAGACCTTCTATGTAAAGCGGTAAATCTGGCCCTGGTCGGCCATAACCGGTTGGGGAGATTTCCAACCATGTACTGTTCCATTGTCTTGAAAATTATCTCTATGGAACAACCCTGGAAGCCAGGGAATGGTTCAGTCCACTAATAATTAGAATATCAGCTTTGGATAAGATGACACCTGCCAGACATAATTCATTTTTTGAAGTAGAAATAATCTATAAAACCAGAAACATAAGATTTCTCTTGTTAGCCAAAAAGCTGTTTTTTGTGTCCTTCTTTGAGTTTTACAGGGGCCTGAATTCAGGGCTACATTCTGCCAAATGCCACCCTCTGTCTAATGAGAGTGCCCTAGTGGCCAGTAAGGTTGCGTTAATTGTACAGTGAAATAGCAGATAGTGGGGCTTAGCCTTGGAAGGGATGTTAAGCCCTGAAAAATACAGTGAAATCCTAGGTTTACTCTGAGGCAGGGCTTGTACGAGGGATTGTATGAGTTTTCCTACTTTGTAACAGCCCTGGACATAAACATTACACCATCACTCACATATTTGTTCCACTAAGCTGTCTAAAGAATCCAGTCCATGGTGATTCAGTGCCTGTGCAGGAAAATGCTAAAGGTTTACATTGTTGAAAGTTGTATTTTGATTCATGAGAGAATATATTACTTTACAGCACAGACTTGTTTGTAGAACTCCTAACTATTGGCTAAAGCTGGGTAGACTTCCATGCCTGGGACATCCTGGCTTTCTTTCTTTGCAGCATGTTGTGATGTGTTACAGCGAGTCGTAAAAAACTGCTCAACAATGCAACATGTCCTACTTTGTGTGAACTAAAGCCATAGGACATAAAGCAAATTGCTTTGTTCTTGCGATGGGACTGCAATGAAGCCCAACGCAGCTGTTGTGAATGAAGTAAACACCAGCCTCTAGGCTAGCTGCTGGTAAAGTTGGCATTTATAGTGACACATTCATTTTACTATGCAGGACCGACTGAAGCAAGACATAGCTGTCAAAGTTCAGGCAGTAGCCATTGACAGGAATGCTTACATCACACAAGCATTCCTGTTAAGGTTGTGCAGGAAAGAGAAACAGCTCCCATGTTGCAGAACACCCATAAACTGGGCTTCAAGCTGGGGTAGCGCTAAGGTCAGCACTGACAGAAAAAAAGGATCCCAATAAAACTGCACAATGCAGCCATGGATGAAAGTGGGAGCAAGAGATCTGTGCATTTGGTGCAATGTGGAATACCACAAGAAATGAAAACGTTTTGTGATAGTTCTTCTTTAAGTTCATTACAGCTGTACTTTGCTCTTGCATTATATTTCCATTACACTCAAAATAATTAGCCTGCTTTGTCTGCATGCTGCTAAATTTGAATATGTAACAAATCATGGGCAGAAAAGTATAGTGCTTTCTTACTAAAATCAAGTTTACCCCTAATATAGGGGTTTGATGAGTGTGTAAATTGCATATGAATTTGGTATTTTGAAAAGAATCTATAAAGAGCACTTTATCACAGTTTTATATTTGTGGGAATTGTGTTTGATGGTTAGTCCCACAGAGCCTTCTGTTATTTATGAGGCACTAACCTCAATTCAGTATGCTATAATAATGAGCTGCCGTAATGACTGTGATTTTCAGCAATGACAGTTAATGAGAGCCGAAAACCATCACATAATAAATAAAAGAAAGCATTAAAGCTTAATGTCAAGCTCCTGTTTTAGTTGGGAATAACCACAAACAATCAATAATCTCAGGTCACTTTAGTTATATGATCCTGTTTGTTCGTTGATTGCAGAATGAAGTTTGCGCAAAGCAGACTGATATATTAGTAAAGATGGAAGCAATGGTGGTTACAGAGATAGAAAATCTCCTAGACTTCATGTATAAAAACTAGAGGGAAGGGAAAAAGAAGGGTCGCCCTTTAGAGGACAAATAGATGGTAGTTGTTTAATTGGTGTGTTATTTGGTGTAAACATGACAATACTAATTAATTTTACATAGAAAGTAGGTAAAATGGTAGCTACATACTGTATATTGTAACAGAGGGAGTATGCACAGTCTCTTGTCATTTGAGTCACCATTTAGTTCCAAAAACAAAGTTGGTTAAAATATGTAAGTTACAGCTTTCTGGCTTTAGGTGCAATAATATAGAATGTGATTATAAACTTGTAGTGACCATCACTGAGATAATCTGCATCTCTTGTCTGTTATAGCATCTATGCAAGGATGGATACAAGAACCCTTTGACAAGTTATGTGGTTCAGAGGTAAGGATTTTATTAAAAAACACTATCTTTCCATTTAAATGCTGATACAGAGAAAATCAGACTATGTTTATAAAATAATAATATCAACTGCAGTATTGAAAGATGACAGAAGAATTCTTCATTTGATTTTCACATATATAAAAGTATTTAAATTTAAACCCAGGCAAACAGGTAAATGCACAGGTGAAACTGTATAGCTCACCCTTATGAACTATATGATACTGTATGGCTCACCAGTGCTAATATGTAGTGGCTTTAAATTATTTAAAGGAGAACTATGGGGAGAGTGAATTACACTCGTACCCATAGTTAGAGCCCATGTGTGACATTGAAGCTGTCACACGTCGGCTCTACAGCTCGAGAACTAAGTGATCATACAGCACTGATTGCTCAGTTCATGATCTTTGCCCTAAATGCCAGTCACTCCCCCCCAAGGATCCCCCCCTCCTCTTTCCAGCGCTGACTGGAGGGGCAGACAGGGGAGGGCGCGGACACAGCTCTCTCTAGAGAGGCAGAGCCAGTTGTCAATCAGGTGGTGGGGTGGATCCTGGCAATATTGTCGGCATCCTTCCCGCCTGCACCACGGCTCTGAGCTGTCAGCATATAGTAGGCACTAGCCTTCTATATGCTGAGTTTTGGATCACAGGAGGACATAAGTAAAGGTCCTTTTGTAACCCCAAGGAGAACTAACGCCAAAAAAAAGGTTGGGCCATAGTTTCAACTTTCCTTAATTGTCACCTGGTAATCCTGCCAGTAACACATTTGTGCAGGTGACAATGGCCCCTCACTGTACTGCATCTATGGAGGAGCAGTGTTGTCACTCTAGCACAGGAAGTGTATTAGAACTACAGAATACCTCTTCACTTCTTCAAACATAAGTGTTCTGTAGTTCAAAAAGGTGAACTGGGAGGGCTGATGGGAGACTGTTTGAGATACCACGGCAGAGCACACAGGACAGCAGTGCATTTCTGACAGAATCAACAGATATAACAAAAGACTTCCAATGGTATGTTTAACAGACTGAAACAAAGCAAATACAATAAGTTTATTGATAGGGTTTATATACACTTTAACTGTAAGGTTAGAGGAGGGTCTGCAAGTTGGCTATCATAAGACCCTGATGGACTGGCTAGAAGGTAATTGGATTACCAGCCTAATGCACCCCTCCCCCTTGCTCCTTATTTGGGATTCCTGCATCTTTCCTGCCAGAAAAGTGCTGGATGGCATTTGGCTTGGTAGCTATGAGGGCACTAGACTCTGTGCTGAGCCGTAATCTGTCAAGGATAATGGCATCCTATTTTAATTAGTAAAACAAAAGTTTTTAAAAGAATACTGGGTCCAAACTGGCAAGCAAGCTTGGTAAATGTTCACTTACACAAATGTCGTCTGGTGATTTTTTCTTCAACTTAGGCCCTGAATACCCATTCTAATTCTAAAGTCCCAATTATATTTAAAGTATAATTAGAAGATATGCAACTGTGTATACAAAGCATGCTACTGCAAGGTCAGATGCAGCAGTAGTCCAAAACATTCAGTAACCTGGCTAGTGCATTGAAAATTCCAGCATTTATTGTGTAACAAGTTTTGACCACAGTGAGCCTACATGATTTAGTACTTCCTATACCACCAAGTGCTGTCTGGTTTGTGTAAAGCAGTCTACTGTTTTGCTTTATGTATGTTGGCTGACAATGCATGATGCATAGGTTCTTTGTTCTTCTGCCTAGTGATCCTAGTTTGTCTGTTATTTATTCTAGAAAAAAGCACAGTACAGGGAAGTGAATACTATTGAATGTGGGTACATTATAAAAAATGCAACTGTAGTGAAAAATAATCATTCTGACCACTTCAAAGAAATACAGACCCCAAGAGGTAGACTGGTCCCAACGGAAGATGAATACATGGACCATAGAAGATCACTTGAGCCTGAAAATGGAAACATGGTTGCTGGCTTGGAGTCTTCATCAGACCTGGAGAGTGGCTCTATGGGAACCTTCCATGCTTACTCAGACACTAGCTCAGATAGATTACTCTCTTCCAATGAAGAGGTCATTATTCAACCATGTCCAGAATGTCAGTGTGATCAGTCTGCCAAAGAGACTCCTAGGTACCGGAGAGAGGAACACTGCATCCCAGATCCAGTCGACAGCAGCTATGGTCAACATAGTTCTCGTCATGAGTTCTATATATACCCAGAGGCATCTTACCATATACCAGAGAAAAACACTGACAAGGAACCATGTTCCTGCTTCACCAATGCTCATTGCACCCGAAGCAGCAGTAGAAGTAGCACTGACAACATGTCGTTTCCAGAGACACCACCAACGCCATCAGGTAAGGAACAGCAGATTCATATTGCTTTTATAGAAGTATTATGTTTAATAAACAGGATTTACTGTATATAGCGGCAACAGTTTACAAAATGCTTTACAACATAAAGGGAGACAGTACAGTTACAGTAAAATTCAATACAAAAGGGTTAGGAGGGTCCTGCTTTGGAGAGCTTACAATCTAAAAAGTAGGGATAAATAATGCAAAGGATAATAACTACCAGAGATGGGCTGATGCAGGAAGTAAAAGTATAGGCTATAGGTAGAGACAGAATAGGCTTTCCTAAAGAGATGGATCAACTAAAAGCAGAGAGAGAAAGAGATAGCCAGGCGGATTGGGGTAGGGAGTTTCAGAGAAGGGGAAACGCTCTGGAGAATACCTGCATAACAGTGCCTGCAGATTTAAAGGCTAACTCCATGTTTTATACCATGTTTTATGTTACACCCATGTTTAGGTTTCATACACCATCCCTAAAACCTACACAGCGCCTCCATCGTACCTGGATCATGGGGGTATCTTTAAAGGGAATCCTGTGGCGGGGGTTTTAAATTCAGCTTGCTGTGTGTGGCTCTGCCCACACAGCTGTATCATCTAAGTTTGTTATTGTTTACATTAAATTACTAGTAGCAGTAAGTAGTAATTTCCCATTGTAGATGGGACATGTGCAGAGTGTGCTGGTGATCCCTCCTCTCTCACCACTCTGTAGTTCAACCTTACTTCCTCCAGCCAGGTCCATACCTCCATATGGATCTGAGGCTGGGGAAAAGCTTTGCGATGCACTGATCACGAGATTAATGTTGCTGCATCTACTGCAAAGAGAGAGTGCACAGAGTAAATGGAAATTATTTTTATATCAGATTTGTTATTTAACAGAATGTTCATGTGCAAATAATATACAATGGAGTAAAATCAGTGGATCTCAATTGTTTCATGTCAGGAAATTCATGGAAATGCTACTTAAGCAGAGAAGGCTTTCTTGAGGGTTATTCACTAAAAAAATCGAAGGATATAGCCGTAGCTTCGGCTAATCTTTCGTCTCACTTCGGCCACCGGAGCCCTTCAGTTCGAAGTGCTGCTGTACAGGCTATTCACAATAGCCCGTACTGCAGCCAAACAGCTCAGCCGAGCCGAACGCTTTGGCTCAGCTGAGCCGTAGTGACAGACGAAGCGGGGAGAACGGTCTCCCAAAGCAGACCTTTCTCCCCGCAAATATAAACAAAAAAACAGCATGCAGCCCCCTCCCGACCCATACCAGACACTGTAGGAATGTTAGGAGGGACCCCCCCTTTATGTCTGGTAGGAATTTTAAGGGAGAACTCCACCCCAAAAAAAGGGAGGGAAAAAGCATGCCCCCTCCCCTAAAATCCCCAACCAAACCCTTGATCCGAGCACAGGCCTGGGAGGGCAGCAAAGTGGGGGGACGAGTGAGAGCCCCCACCTCCTCCCTTCACCATACCAGACCGCATGCCCTTGGAATTGAGAGAACAAGGGCCTCTACCCCACAAGCCCTGACCCATTGGTTGTGGGGTTCTACGTGCAGGGGGACTTATTTGCATCGGGGTACCCTCTTTAATAAAGAAGGCACTGAGATGCTGCCCTCCCCCCTTGTGAATCAGTAAGGGGTACTTGTACCCCCACTCATTCACTAAAGGGTTAAAAGTAAAAAGTAAATAAACAGACCAGACTTTAAGAAAAAAATCCTTTAATTGAAAAAACAAAAAGTTTTTGACAAGTCTTTTAATATGAAAAAACAAAAATTTAAAAAATCAATCCACTGCTGTAATCCAAAGGTCAATCATGACGTCCAGCATTGTCCACAACTTTGCCGACTAGTCGAAATTAAAAAAAACTATGCCCGCCGACCCGTCCACACACGACAAACTCCCGCCGCAAAATGACCGGTTTGACATATGGCGGCAAAATATAAACAATTGGGCGGAGCTAGCGGTGAAATTACCTCTAGCCCCGCCTAATTGTTTACATTTGTCTGACACTTGTCAAACTCTTCCCACAGGTCCTGGCCAAATCAAAACAAATGGGCGAAGTCGGCTGTGATGTCACAGCTGTCTCCGCCAATTTGTTGTCATTCAATGACAGGCCACCGTCCTCAAATGACAGGCCACTGTCCTCAAATGACAGGTCACCGTCCTCAAATGACAGGCCACCGTCCTCAAATGACAGGCCACTGTCCTCAAATGACAGGTCACCGTCCTCAAATGACAGGCCACCGTCCTCAAATGACAGGCCACTGTCCTCAAATGACAGGCCACTGTCCTCAAAGTCCTCTGTGTTCTTAAAGTTTACAGTGAACTCTGTCAGAAATATTCCTGTTTGCAAGTTATTTTTAGTGTATGTTCTGTTCCTATAGCACTTTAAATCTACATCATACTCCAAGGGCACCTGCCATAGGTCTTCTACTGAGTGCCCCAGATCTCCTTTGCAATAGTTGCCATCATCTCAACAATGATCTTTTATTTTTGTTCATTAATTTGTGCTACCAATATTAACTGCATTTAACCTCACAATAATTTAGAATCATGTTGGGTAGACAATTATAGAACCTGGCATCTTTAATAAAGTGCTTGTTTTCTACATTTACCTAACCCTCGCAATGCATATTTCTTTTTTACTAAACAATATTAGCTCGTTGATTAACAATGAGATATATTACGGTTTTGGAACATCATTTTGTTTATTAACTTTTTAATTTCTTATTTTTTTAAGCATTATCATACTGTGAGGATTTGCTCCAAACGGTAGCACATTAAGGACACCGCCACTCGCTTTTCACTTTAAGGGCTTCTTTGCCCACTTTTATTAACTCAAAAATGGAAAGAAACGTCCACACAGGTGTTCCCTCGCAGGGCTTTTCAAACATAAAGTATAATTTTTTGTCAAACATTTTTCCCGTCTCACCGATTTCAGGAAGGTCCTTTCACAAAAAACCGTATGGCCACATAGGCTGTATTCAAACACTAGCCACACCGGCTTGTCCTTTGAACTCTTGCCACACAGGCTGCTGTTTTGCCACACAGGCGGATTGCCACACAGGCTGCTCGTTTGCCACACTGGCGGATTGCCACACGGGCGGAATGCCACACAGGCTGTCTGCTCCACAGTCCACCAGACACACAGTCTGGTTCTAGTGTGGGGCTGCTAACTTAGGAGGCTGGGGCTTCTTGTAGAGGCCCTAACAAGCCAGCTAGCTTTGGCTGGGCTTGTTACCTCCAGCACTCTCAGCACTTCCCCTAGAGCAGTGGTGGCTAACCTTGGCACTCCAGCTGTACCAACACCACAAATCCCAACATGCATCTGCCTCTGGGGGTTATGTCTGTGGCTGTCAGAGCCTTGCAATGCCTCATGGGATTTGTAGTTCCAAAACAGCTGGGGTGCCAAGGTTCGCCACCACTGCACTAGAGGAATAACAACCTTAATACAATTGAATACCAACATCCCCATCTGCCTGCTGCCACAATACATTTGTTTTGGAATGAAAAACAACTTCACCCGCTTTATATGCTGGTACACTGCAAACCCTTCAACAGTGCCCAGGGATGCCCCAGGTTTGCTTCTAGTGTGGGGCTGCTAACTTAGGAGGCTGGGGCTTCTTGTAGAGGCCCTAACAAGCCAGCTAGCTTAGGCTGGGTTTGTTACCTCCAGCACTCTCAGCACTTCCCCTAGAGCAGTGGTGGCTAACCTTGGCACTCCAGCTGTACCAACACCACAAATCCCAACATGCATCTGCCTCTGGGAGTTATGTCTGTGGCTGTCAGAGCCTTGCAATGCCTCATGGGACTTGTAGTTCCAAAACAGCTGGGGTGCCAAGGTTCGACACCACTGCCCTAGAGGAATAACATCCTTAATACAATTGAATACCAACATCCCCATCTGCCTGCTGCCACAATACATTTGTTTTGGAATGAAAAACAACTTCACCCGCTTTATATGCTGGTACACTGCAAACCATTCAACAGTGCCCAGGGATGCCCCAGGTCTTTTAAGAATCTAGAAATGCCCCTGCATGCTGCATTAGCAGAAAGATCCATCTTGCTAGTATATTTTAGTTCTTACATCTATGAGTGACTAAATAAAAGTAAAACAGAGATATGATAAGTGTGGCTAATGAATCCACGGTTGCCAGGCTGTAATCAATTTGATCAAAGTGTTGACCATTGCATTGCACTTTGTCAGTGTGATGCAATGGTGTGTGGACAAATGATGGACTCACTGATTTAAAGAGGTTGATTCAATAGAGGAGGAGGGAAATGTCAACTTCACATAGTGAAGCTCTGTTCACCTCGAATACCCAATTGTTTGCAGAGGATTTGAAATAAAATAATACACTGCACATGACTGAATGAAAAAAGCTTTGCTGGGCTAAATGTGAACATTCAACCCCGAAAACTGATGTCCAGTATTGAAATATTCAGGAAAACATTATATTTTGACATAAGTTATTAAGAAATTACTTTTATTTGGCACAACTCTAAGGCTGCATGGCATTTTGGAATAATGTTCTTTTTTGGTTTTTAGCAAAATAAATTACTAATGGATGCTATTTGCCTTTTTCTCAACTCAGGAAATGTGACTGGAAACCACAACACAACGGTTATTTCAAGCGCCCCAGTAATGAACATTAAAACAGATATGGTAGTAGTATATTATAGGGGAAGCTCCCAGGATGCACACATACCTTGTGAAAGTGAACAAAACATTAAGCGGCCGATGCAAGAAGAGATGTCCTCAAATGACAGGCCACCGTCCTCAAATGACAGGCCACTGTCCTCAAATGACAGGCCACCGTCCTCAAATGACAGGCCACTGTCCTCAAATGACAGGTCACCGTCCTCAAATGACAGGCCACCGTCCTCAAATGACAGGCCACTGTCCTCAAATGACAGGCCACTGTCCTCAAAGTCCTCTGTGTTCTTAAAGTTTACAGTGAACTCTGTCAGAAATATTCCTGTTTGCAAGTTATTTTTAGTGTATGTTCTGTTCCTATAGCACTTTAAATCTACATCATACTCCAAGGGCACCTGCCATAGGTCTTCTACTGAGTGCCCCAGATCTCCTTTGCAATAGTTGCCATCATCTCAACAATGATCTTTTATTTTTGTTCATTAATTTGTGCTACCAATATTAACTGCATTTAACCTCACAATAATTTAGAATCATGTTGGGTAGACAATTATAGAACCTGGCATCTTTAATAAAGTGCTTGTTTTCTACATTTACCTAACCCTCGCAATGCATATTTCTTTTTTACTAAACAATATTAGCTCGTTGATTAACAATGAGATATATTACGGTTTTGGAACATCATTTTGTTTATTAACTTTTTAATTTCTTATTTTTTTAAGCATTATCATACTGTGAGGATTTGCTCCAAACGGTAGCACATTAAGGACACCGCCACTCGCTTTTCACTTTAAGGGCTTCTTTGCCCACTTTTATTAACTCAAAAATGGAAAGAAACGTCCACACAGGTGTTCCCTCGCAGGGCTTTTCAAACATAAAGTATAATTTTTTGTCAAACATTTTTCCCGTCTCACCGATTTCAGGAAGGTCCTTTCACAAAAAACCGTATGGCCACATAGGCTGTATTCAAACACTAGCCACACCGGCTTGTCCTTTGAACTCTTGCCACACAGGCTGCTGTTTTGCCACACAGGCGGATTGCCACACAGGCTGCTCGTTTGCCACACTGGCGGATTGCCACACGGGCGGAATGCCACACAGGCTGTCTGCTCCACAGTCCACCAGACACACAGTCTGGTTCTAGTGTGGGGCTGCTAACTTAGGAGGCTGGGGCTTCTTGTAGAGGCCCTAACAAGCCAGCTAGCTTTGGCTGGGCTTGTTACCTCCAGCACTCTCAGCACTTCCCCTAGAGCAGTGGTGGCTAACCTTGGCACTCCAGCTGTACCAACACCACAAATCCCAACATGCATCTGCCTCTGGGGGTTATGTCTGTGGCTGTCAGAGCCTTGCAATGCCTCATGGGATTTGTAGTTCCAAAACAGCTGGGGTGCCAAGGTTCGCCACCACTGCACTAGAGGAATAACAACCTTAATACAATTGAATACCAACATCCCCATCTGCCTGCTGCCACAATACATTTGTTTTGGAATGAAAAACAACTTCACCCGCTTTATATGCTGGTACACTGCAAACCCTTCAACAGTGCCCAGGGATGCCCCAGGTTTGCTTCTAGTGTGGGGCTGCTAACTTAGGAGGCTGGGGCTTCTTGTAGAGGCCCTAACAAGCCAGCTAGCTTAGGCTGGGTTTGTTACCTCCAGCACTCTCAGCACTTCCCCTAGAGCAGTGGTGGCTAACCTTGGCACTCCAGCTGTACCAACACCACAAATCCCAACATGCATCTGCCTCTGGGAGTTATGTCTGTGGCTGTCAGAGCCTTGCAATGCCTCATGGGACTTGTAGTTCCAAAACAGCTGGGGTGCCAAGGTTCGACACCACTGCCCTAGAGGAATAACATCCTTAATACAATTGAATACCAACATCCCCATCTGCCTGCTGCCACAATACATTTGTTTTGGAATGAAAAACAACTTCACCCGCTTTATATGCTGGTACACTGCAAACCATTCAACAGTGCCCAGGGATGCCCCAGGTCTTTTAAGAATCTAGAAATGCCCCTGCATGCTGCATTAGCAGAAAGATCCATCTTGCTAGTATATTTTAGTTCTTACATCTATGAGTGACTAAATAAAAGTAAAACAGAGATATGATAAGTGTGGCTAATGAATCCACGGTTGCCAGGCTGTAATCAATTTGATCAAAGTGTTGACCATTGCATTGCACTTTGTCAGTGTGATGCAATGGTGTGTGGACAAATGATGGACTCACTGATTTAAAGAGGTTGATTCAATAGAGGAGGAGGGAAATGTCAACTTCACATAGTGAAGCTCTGTTCACCTCGAATACCCAATTGTTTGCAGAGGATTTGAAATAAAATAATACACTGCACATGACTGAATGAAAAAAGCTTTGCTGGGCTAAATGTGAACATTCAACCCCGAAAACTGATGTCCAGTATTGAAATATTCAGGAAAACATTATATTTTGACATAAGTTATTAAGAAATTACTTTTATTTGGCACAACTCTAAGGCTGCATGGCATTTTGGAATAATGTTCTTTTTTGGTTTTTAGCAAAATAAATTACTAATGGATGCTATTTGCCTTTTTCTCAACTCAGGAAATGTGACTGGAAACCACAACACAACGGTTATTTCAAGCGCCCCAGTAATGAACATTAAAACAGATATGGTAGTAGTATATTATAGGGGAAGCTCCCAGGATGCACACATACCTTGTGAAAGTGAACAAAACATTAAGCGGCCGATGCAAGAAGAGAGGCAGGACCACTGTGACAGCTTTGTGGCAAATACCCCACCGTACAAATACGATGACATTCCCTGCTGCTCAGTGCCAGATACAGACTGTACAGAAGCTGATGGCCCCTTGAGAGACTCCAACTGTTCGGTCATGTCCAATCAGGACAATATTATGTTCTGTCAAAATACAGACTATCTACCTGTACAAGAAGAAGGAAAGCCAGAATTTTACCACTAAATTACCGTCACCATATATCTGTGAAAAGATATAGAGACATTCCAGTCCAAGCTCGGTATGAACTGCAGAGCAAGAGAACTGTTTGACCAATGAACCAAGTTCATGCTTGTAAATGATCTGGAATTCCGTGACCTATAATGGGAATTCTTCTGTACTATCCGTATTTATTTGGCTGTGATTTGTTTTCCCCCAAAATAGGAAAAGAAGTTTCGACAGTGTGACAGGTTGCCTAACCTATGAAAATACAAAAAAGGATAAAGCGCACTCCTGTGGGCACAATACAATTAGGTGACTATTGTGTGAGGGTGTGCAGAAGCTCCTTGATACAGGGAGAGGACCCTGTCTATTCAAAATTGCAGATATGGACAAAGCAGGACAGGAGCGCGACTACCAAAACGGACGTAGATAGGTATATGAAGTACAACTTGTAAATGGATCTTTGTATATGAATAATGCGTGACACTGTTAGTAGTGGACAAAGGGACTTACGGTTCGAGGCTCCCCCGTGGTCTGTGTGGCGCCCTCCTCCGAGAGGTACCGGGTCGCAAGAGTGTCCCCGATGGTACGACGGGCTGATCAGTTGGGGGTGCGCATCCGTATGGCCACCCACGGACTCGGCTGGCCGGGCCGAGCCGCGTCGGTCAAAGACGGAAGAGTGGGGAGGAGCTACACGCGGCTGGGGCACGCCGTGCGTCGTTGGTCAGGATCGGTAGCGGTGTGGGCGGT